TAAGCAGATCGAAGGGAAAGAACATCTACAAAGGCAAAATTTAAAAACCTTGTGAGGTAAGCATTTGTTCTGGTAGCCCAGCTTAATTCCAGGATAAATAATGCCATTCTGTGATATTCTGCCAATCTGATCGCTCTCACAGTTTTAAAAGGAGGTGACAAATTTCCTGTCCTCTGCCATGACTGGTCTTTGCTCCAGCTCAGACAAGGCTGCATTGCAGCAGGTGGATAAAATCCTCCTTTTGCCCAGGAGCTTCTTGCAATGCAAAGACTCCTGACTCACTTTGGCACATGCTTTCCTCTAGCAAAGACCACTCCTGGAGCCTCAGACCCTGCTTTCCCTTTGACAATCTCAACCCGTTGCCCCTATTTAATCAGGAAAGGCTGCAAAAAAGGGGAGGCAAATAGGAACTTCCTCAGGCTTGGCTCACAACCCTTCCTCTTCCCTGGATTGCTCGAGCTCCTTAGCTTTCTCATCCCGCCTTGGGAGGAGCAGGAGTCGGCTGGCGTAAGGCTCCAAGCTGGGTTCAGCCCACCAGCCTGGGGTGTGTCATCCACCATTTCCTAAGTTATTCTTTTGGGTTTCCTTTTCTCACTATTAATAGATTTTCAGCCAATATGAGCTGTTTCAACAAGGTGGACGGGAGGGGGAGGAGGTGTCACTGAAATAGGAAGCGGGAAGCTGTTGGGCAGGGAATTAATCAGAGGAGCTGCATGAAGAGGTGGTGGCTTTGGGTGGGCTGATGGGAGGAAGGATGAGACATGTCCTTTCACTTTGCATTTTGTGCTAGTTTGCTTGTCTTTTTGTGCTCCAAGTCGTGACCTTTCCAAACAAGCTACTCCCTCCAAGCATTTTCCCCAGCCTGCAAAATACCACACATGTACTGCAACGAGGTTACAACCAAGAGCATCACTTCATGGAATGATTAGTGGTGGTGCACAGCAGCTGAAAACTGTGGCCTTTGACTGGTATTGCAAGAAGCTGCCTCGGCACAAACCAGCACACCTTTCCTTTTACATTTTGAGTGGTTTTTCACATTTCAGCAGCTCCTGACTAACACACTCCCACACCAGTCATGCCCAGGAGCACACGCAGCAGCAGGGACTGACAGTGGAACTTCCAACCTCCCAAATATTGCTCACTGCGGGTTGAACAAGCCCATCTTGATAGCTAGCAATAAGGGAAAGTTCTCTCCCCTGTGGGGCTGTCCCCATCACAGAGACACCATATCGCAGGCACAGTCATGGGATACACATATCCGGAAATTAAATCATGTTTTTGCAGCGGACTCATTTCCTTTGGGCTGTTTGGCCGCCGTGCACACGGATGCCTGTGTGGAAGGCTTGCACTCTCCTCCTGTGGGTCTACCCCTTATCCAGCACAAAAGTGCAAGGGTTTGGGGTTTTCTGAGTGATACATGCAAGAGAAGAGGTGCAAAACAAGGCATTAGATTCGCTGCAACCTGTGCTGTCAAAATACAGCTGCTATATTACTCTCATTTTCCTTAAAAATGAGGAATTGATAACAGTCCAAAAAGTGAAATCAAGTAAGTGGTCTTGCCTTGCCAAAATCCAGCCAGGAAAGTCAGGGGCAGGTAGTTTTTTTCTGCCTTCTGGAAAACAGGGTGAGGGACTCTGGCTGAAATTCAAGTGAACTTTCTTTTTGAAAGGATCTCCTCCTGGTAAGGGGAGTGATAGATTAGAGGAACTCTCCTCCATCCTTCTTCTCTCTCATAGGATGTGTTAAATCCTTTTATTTCTGGGGCTCATGGCATGAAAGGGTCATTTGTTTCCTGAGAAAGGACGGACTGTATCTTTTTGTGAGTAATTTTCATGCTAAAAGGGCACCAAACATAATCCTGTCCTGTCTGGCTGTTATTACCACCAGTCTGTGGTTGCAGAGGTTTCCTCCTCCTTTAACCAGATCCTTTTCATTTCTTCTGTTGAAGACAGTTGTCAGGCAACACTGACTACGAGCCCAGGCAAAGAGGGGCTCATTACCAGTTATTACCCCCAGGTCTGCCACCAAGATTTGGCACGGGTGGCCAGTTCGGGAGGAAGAGATAAAAAAAATAAAATTCTCTGGCATTTGAAAGAGATATAGCACATGTGGAAGGAAAACAGTGACTCTTGGGTTTGTGGCACTCTTGCTGATCGTTTTGTGTTTGTTTCTGATTTGAGATTAAGCATTTGCTAGACTTGTGAAAATAAGAGCAATGAGTTTGCATAAGCCAGGTTTTTCTGCAAGTGGTGAACTTGCAAGACACCAAAAAGATGCAATTTGTTTTTCTGCAGTCTAAATAAAATACATTTTTTCCTAATGCTGCAGACAATTAATATTAAGCCCAGGGCAATAAAACTGCAGAAAGGTGTGTAGCCCCATGACTGCAGCAGCATCTGGCTCCTTGTGCAACGGCAGTGAGAAAACAGTTGAATTTAATGCAGCTGGAGAGAGAAGGTAAATTTCACTGACAGATGGGTGCCCAAAAATCTGTGGGACAGGTGTGGGGATGGATAGGAGTGCTGATCCTCCATGGAAAGAGAAACTCACCCAACTGTAGTCATAGTTGCTCTTGGCTGGCATGTTGTGGGTCCAGCTCACAGTATTGCATGTTGTCTTGAAGAGTGTCAAGTTTACATCCTGCCTGGATTTCCTCTTCCTGTGGCCATCACGATGTTCACCACAGCCATTGCATTGTGGCTAGCAACAATAATTCTTCAGAATAGTCTGCTTTGGGACAAGCAAGCTGTGGAAGACAAAAGGGGGAAAGAAAAAATTTGGTAGCATCCCAGCTGAGCTAGGAGGTTACTAAAAAAACATCACCTTCAGATCAAGTTTGGGATAGGAGATCTTTTGCAAAGGTCTTCCCAGTTGTCCCATCCAGCCCAATACAGCAGGAGCACGTTTGTAGGAAGGGAATGATGTGGTGAAGTGTTTTCTGGTTCATATATCATTTGCTTTGCCATTTGCCAAAGGGATGCAAGTCATTGCCCATCAAAGGAGAGTGATTTCTACCTCTGTGGCATCATGTGACCTCAGCCAAGCCCATGTAGTAGGATGGATAGTGTCCCTTCTGCCCACATGATCAGCACCCATTGAATGCATCCATCCATCAATCCATCCATCCATCCACCTGCATGGTGGCTCACCACTTCCAAGCAGGAGTGTGCTGGGTGCTCAAGTTGCTTTGAGCCCACTTAAATCAGTGATCCTGGCTTAATGAGGAAGAATAAATTGATCTTTTAACATCTCTTGACCTTAGCAGGACATGAGTGCTGAGAGTGTATGCAGAGATATGGAAAAATAAAATACTAGTAAGCTTCATGGGCATCAGCTTGAGTCTTGGTTCTTCTCCCAGTTGCTTTTTTGGGCTGTGTCCCTTGAAAGACACCCTACTACCACCAAAGCCAGGGTAAGCCAGGAGGATCACACCAGCTTTCTCTGTCAGTGGAGCAACCCCTTTCTTTGCGCCTTTTTCCCCAGTTTTTTGCTGAAAGTGGTAAAAATGTAGCTGCAGCTCTGTGGGGTAAGATGGGGAAACACTGGGGCAGGGATACCGGTTTCTTGGCCACTGAGGCTGGCCCAGATCCAAAGCATGAGCCTGTCCCTTTCTCTTTTGGACCGAGTTGAACTGAATTGTCTTTTCTACCTTTCCTTTAGTGCATATTTGCTTCCTGCCTCTCTGGTTTGGGGCCAGGGCATGAAAAGGAAGTGAGAGCAGTGGGGGCTTTCCTTCACCTTCCTTCCAACCCTGTCTTTATTTACATCTTTTTGTATTGTTTCTACCTTTAGGGGAAATTTCTTTTTACCTTCCTTGTTGTCAAAATCCCTGTCAAACTTCTACAGCTTATTTATGGGGATAGACCCATTTTGTGGCTAACAGGATGAAAACTGCCTCCTATTTTTGGCACCTGGGTTTCATCTGCTAGGTGCCCATGCCTGTGTTTTTCTTCCTTACCTCTTCTTCTCCTGCGGACAGTGGTTGGTCTATAGGAAATATGATTTGTCTTCACAAAAGCTCTTTTCCTGTAGATGTAGTGTTGCAGCCTCTCCATCCCAAATCCCACTCCCCAGGTCCTGACTTAAACACACCTCCACACCTCCTCATGTGGTGGGGTTAGATTTCCCCAGCATATAAGAATTTCGGAAGCTCAAGCTTTCATCAGATCTGTGAAGTACAACCAGTGCTAATAAACAGGTTCTGTAAGAGAAAATACTTTGCCATTATGCCAGCACAGAGGAATGAAATGGATCTCTGGAGAGCAGCATTAGCTAAAAATCAAATTTTGCATGTGTGACTCCTATTTTGGGGGGCTGGAAATAATATACAAGTGCTTCATGAGCCAAAAAATAGCCCTTTACTGCACAAATCAAATGCAAGAACCCACCCCTCCAAAATCAGGTTGTTGCCTTGATTCCAGACATATCCACAGATGATGTGGCTCAGTGCAGCCCGTGGTTCCTGAAAGGTGGAAAACTGGTCGAAGCTTTCCTGGGGTGAATTTGAGCAAGAGCTCAGAGTTGGTGGTTATCACATGCAACAGGGGGAAGTAATCTCCATGGCAATTGATGGAGCTTCTCAGTGACTACAAACAAATAAATGGACCCAAATTTTTTAATCCACTCTAGTAGTGAATATACCACGTTTTAGCACTACAGCCTAGTTGCAATCTTTTGCCAAGAAAGCTGTCCTTTAGTTGTAAGTCTCACTGAGAAACAGCTTCATAATTTGAAAATTCAAAGTATTCTTCAGAAACCAACTGCAAATCTCCTTATGTATGATAACCTGAGATAATTGAGCAATGGACAACCCTCTTTACTTTGAGAGCAAGTTTTTTTCCCACTTAGGTAATGTCAGCTCTCAGTGAAATGCTTCATGGATTTCCTCAAAAAACAAATAAGACATGCTAAAAGTAGTATTTCCACATGATGTACAAGTGCGGGGTCAAGACCATGGAAAAATACATGGGAATTTCACATGGTTCAGGTGGTGGCATTAAGGATTTGCATGGTACGTGTAGATGGAGCCCTCCATTTTTCTGGCTTGCTTCACCTTTTCCTAAATGCAGTGCACCCTTTCTTTTTTTTTTTTGGTTGGAGGTACTTTACTTCACAAATGACTTGCAGCATTTTGCATGGGAGCTGGTGCACCTCCCATCTGAGACCTACCTTCTAGGAACCAGCAGGTCTTGTCATCCTGCTCACCCTCCAACCTCCTTGAAGTCCTGCGAGTTTGACTATGTTCATCATGGAGGTTACTTAGGCTTCCTCCTCTTCCTCCTCCTTCTTCTTCTCCTTCTCCTCCTCATCCTCCTCCTCTGCTCTGCTTTCTACTGCACACCGTGATAGCACAACGTGGTATTTGGTGTGATTTCAGAGAGCATGAGAAAAGCCCTGACTAAATGACTCATGGTTTCTGGTCAGCATTTATTTCTACAAATACCTGTTCTGTGTGGAAACCAGCAGTAGTTTCCTTAGTTTAAAGTTTATTATCTTGGTGTTCTTACTTTCCCCTAGGTGTCAGCTCTCAGGATGTTACAAACACAACTCCCGCAAATCCAGGGCAGATCACCGCTACTACAGGCACCAGCAAGGTGCAAGGGACCACCTCTACAAGCAACTCACCAACCACCTCAACGATGTCACCTGCCGTAGTTCAAGGGACCACCTCTACAAGCAATCTGGGAAACCCACCACCCACCCCTGTGATATTACCCACCACAGTTCAAGGGACCACCCCTGCAAACAACCCAGGAAATCCATCATCTAACCCTGCAACATCACCTGCCACAGTTCAAGGGACCACCTCCACAAACAACCCAGGAAACCCACCACCTGCCCCCACAACATCACCTCACCTGTCTCAGCAGGTCAGCTCTTCAATCAGCTCGAGAACCTCATCAGCCACCCCTGCTGCAACCTCCAGCATGACCCAGCAGAAGACCAGCCCTCCAGCCAACTTGGGAAGCTCAGTAGCCACCACTTCTTCAAATGTTGTCCCCAGTCATGTGAGCAGTGAACCTCCAGCCACCCCAGGAGGTTTAGGGACTGCTGTCACATCCCCTTCCAGTGTGGAAGCTCAGGGAAGACAGCCTTCAGACCAGCTGACCAGCACCGCTGCAAGCACTGGAGTCACAACAAGCAGCCCTCCTCCTGGTCTCAAGGACCATGGTGTCGCTTCTTCCACATCTGTTGCCAAGCAGCCTCACTCTTCTCCCAGTTCACCAGTCCAGGGACTGGCCTCCTCCACCAGACCTGGAAGCATCAACCCTTCTGTTACCCCTTTTGATGGATCCATCTTCTTCACCACTAGTAAAGCGTCTCTGTCTTCACCACCTGGCAGCATCAACAGAGTCTCAGAAGCAGTCACCACAACGACATTTGGAGCAGGTACTAGAAAATGAGAACCTTGATTTCTAGGGTTAGGAGGCCCTTTTGTGGTCTTTTCCTTGTGCTACCCTAAACACCTCCTGTCATTATGGGGTGTCATCATCTTGTCTTATTTTAGGACTTCCCAGCGTAGTTGTCTCCATGACCACTGGGTGTGTAGGTTCCTGTTGTCATCTGTGGAGATCGAGTCAATGCAGTTATTAAAATTCAAGGCATGAATCAACTGGCAAGGCACAGACATCAGCTTTTGAATGTGCTTGAAACACCATCAACTGCAATGACTCGATCTTCAGTGACTGCAAAAGGGAGCCAGCAGCAATGAGTTTGGAGGTGGAGATTGACATTGTCGAGTTGGTGAAAGAGATTGACAGCACCCCAAATGCTGACTGTAGAAGATCCATAGTACGGCTGACAGCTTGGTGAAGGCTGTCTAAGCATGCATAGAAAATAAGCTTTAGATGACTAAAGAGATTTTGTGGCTAAACTCTGAGTCTACAACCTCTAAAGAGTCTAAGCAGTTGGGTAGGTTATTCATCATTGCTGCGGGAATTTTATCTGCTGACTTCCGTCTAAGCAGCATTATGACTGTCCACATGGTATTTAGGATCTTGCTGAACACCATTAATATGTTTTCTCTAGACCTCTGGAGTTTTATAGAGCCATGTTACTTCTCATGTGTCCTGATGAGGCACAGTCTAGGGTCCCCTTTGGCATTTTGTCTGGTAGCGTTTTCAGGGAAGCAATCACATTGTGGGACTGGGAGGGCTCCATGGAGCCTTTCAGACTTGGGTGGGATTGTGGGTTCAGCTCACATATGTCTCTCAATAAAAGCTGTGATGACACTGAAGCCCTTCATTATCTTCCTCTGGAGAAGGTTGTTCTTGACCCAATTTCCAGCTACTTGCAATACAAAAGCCACACAAATAAACATCTCCTTCCCACTCAGTCTTCCAACTCCTCCTTGCTGTCAGCATCACTAAATGGGGTAAGGTCTTAATGCAAGACCATCCTCACTGCCTTCATCCAAGTCGTGTTTTGAGCATGTTAGCAGGCATTAGATGGTGAAATGGGTGTCTTCATGAAAGATGTTTCTTTTCTCTCCTGCTCTATAGGACTGTTCTCCATTAATGGATGATATATGAAATTATGTTAATTCAAATTTGACCTCATTAAGCATAAAGAGGTTTAAAAAACCTTTACATTTAATAAATAGGTGAGAGAATGCAAGAGAAACAGATGGCTTTGAAATTTAGTTCTCTCCTGGAGCCTTCAGAATGTGTCTGAGAGAGAAATATCCTTCATCTTCTCTATGGAAGAGGCAGGAGTCCCCAAAAGCAAACAGACTGTGAACAGGATGTGGCAATTTAATCATCTTTGTCACCATTTAAGAATCAGTTAGGAACCCAGAGATGGAGATCCATTTCTTCAAAAGGATTTGGAGAGGCAGGAGGCTGCTATGCTCCTTGCACTACTCACATTGCACAAGAAACTGTAAGATTCCCACAGACCTTGACAAAGACGTCAGAGGTGATCTCAGGTGTCTGAGACACCTTCATGGGGCTGGTATATGTGGGGCATGTGCCCTGCTGGATCAGCAGGCAGGCAAGACACCTTAAGTTGTCTCCCATAGTACCAGCATGACTACTAAGCATGTCACTCTGGGTTTCTACCATAGCTGATGGAGATGCAGTCAACAGAGGCTATGACATTTCATCCCCTCCTAACGGCTGCAGTTGTCAGTGGGATTGCACAATGAACTCCATTCACTGGGAGATCCTGGATAGCCAGCTCAGATAGTCTATCTCTGTTGTAGAAACCTCCATAGAAGACACCCCAGATAAAGTGAAATGAGGGCCATCTCATTTACCCAGAAATACTCCTTTCTAAGTGATTATCCAGCTACCAATGCTCAGCTATCATGGTCTTTGGGTTCATCCCTCCAGAAGAATCTGATGGGTTCCAGCAGCAGAAAATACAATCGTCAATAATATTTTTTTCATAACATGGTTAATGTAAAATTTATTTATTTATTTATTTAAAAAAGAAGAAGAAACCCCAAAACTCTCCAAGCTTTGACAGCGAGTTTCAAGGCAGAGCTAGAGCTAAAAACTTATTTTCAGCTGCTTGCAAGTGGACCTGTGTTGACTGTATCCTCTATCAGTGTCTGTCTGCTTTTTTTTTGCTGTATTTTGGGGACGCAGACCAGAGAAGCCACCACACCGGATCTGTGTCAACCCAACCTGCAAGTGCTGACCAGAGCCCTACCACTGCACGGCCATCAGCCCCAACCCCAGGGGACCAGACAGCAAGCAGCAGTCCTGGCCACCAGCACCTTAACGCTTCTTTCCAAAATGAGGTAACAACACCTATGGGAAGGTGGGCACTTCAGAGTGGTGTCTATTAACATTTAGCTGCCATCTCATGTACATGAAAACCTGCAGCTCTTCTTGCTGTGCATGTCCATATCAGTGAGATCTGCCTTAGGAAAACATGAGGCAGCAAAATAACTCTAGATTAAACCTCTTTCTCCCATAGTTTTACAGCAAGGAGACATGGGGGATGGAGGTGAAGGGGATTATGGTTTGGGTGCTGAATAGAGAAGTGAAATTTGGGAAGAGAGAGAAGCATTAAGGAGAGCAGAAGCTGCCTTGGGGTGAACTTGGGTGTGATGAGAGGGCAAAGACCACAATTCAGTGTCAACTGTTCATGTATGACAGGAGAAAATGGCTTGGGAGCATAGGAGGGGGCTCAAAACACAAGCCAGGATAACTAAAGTGCTGGGAAGAAAGCAAGGGGATCCTGTTTCTAGATTCTCATCTTCTCCAGGGCAGGACTGCATCATGTCACACTGCCATGGATCTTCCTACTGCCCAAGCCAATTCCTGCTTTACCCCATACTGCAAATCCTAGACCTGGTTTGGGACCTGCATTAGCAAACATGCCACAAACAACCACGTCAGTTACCTGTGAAAACTCTTTCCACATATAAGGAGTTGAGTGAAGGGCTCCCAGCTCTGTCTCATTTCCATAAAATGGATTAGAGCTTTGGTTGGGATGTCTCCTGACTTGGGTAGCCTTTTGTGTCAGTGACCAACTGTCCTTCTAACCTATATCCACAATTTGAGAGTTGTTTTTCATCTGTCTTTCCAGGTCATCTGTAAAAATGAGGTGCGAAATAATGTGCCTATCATGTTTCTGAAAGAAGCTAAAACCTGTGTAAGTACCACCCTTTGGGACCTCTATGTAGGATTAGCAGCTGTGTTGCTGTTGGAGATCAGCTTTTAACCCATGGAACTCTGGGCATGTGAGCCTAAAGACTTGAGAGTCATTTCAACAAAATAAGATGCAACAGCTTGCATTGGGGTGTAAAATGGTCAAAGCAAACCTGCACTCAGTGGTGTCATCCCGTGGGGGATATGGCAGGAGGAGAAGAGACCCATGTCGTTTTCTTCAAGTAGAAGGATGAGCTGAGCCTGCCCAGGTCTCAGAAAATGAGAAATGGGAAATCTTAGAGGATGAAACTTTCCCAACTTCAGGTTGGACAGGGCTCTGAGCAACCTGATCTGGTTGAAGATGTCCCTGCCCACTGCAGGGCAGTTGGACTAGATGACCTTGTAAGGTCCCTTCCAACCCAAACCATTCTGTGATTCTACGATTCTAAATGATGACGTTCTTAACCATGCTGCCCTTAACACTGAGGATAACTCCAAGGAGGGACCTTATTACCATGATGCCCATGGCCCAGCTGCCACAGTAGGACCCAACCTAGTCTCAGAGTATGAAAGCCTCTCCTGAGAACATCCCCTGCCCTGCTTCGTGCAATGTCTGAACCTGCAGTTATGTCCACGCTGGGAAAGATTCCCATCAAATTTTATATTGAACATATAAAAATATTTCATCAAATTGACAAAATCTAATTTCAGACCCCAAAGCACACAGGTGACTTATGACCATGTTGGTGTTTGATGGTTCCCTCCTTCTTCTGGGCACAGTCATATTCTGTGCAGAGCCATTGTCTTCCCCGTGGTTTCACTGTAGATGGTCTGGGAGGGTTTTTTTGGAAAGAGGGATGGTAAACTGGGAAGTGCTGGTGCATGGCAACACGCTGGCAAGCTAAGGGGTGGGTGGACATCATGGCTTGGCATCATCCATCACTTCTCTCTGCCCATTCTGCTGGGCTATGGCACGCTGGAGCTGGCGAGCCAGCGAGTCTGCCGCCTTGTTTCCTTTGGATTCCTCTGAGTGTAATAACGAGCCGAAGCATTGTTAATATAAAATGCCAATTACGCCTTAAAACAGATGCAGAAAGACTGCAAGGGTGCATCCTCCCATGGCATCGCTCTCCTCGGCTGCCAAAACACCTCCCACCCACTTGCCGTTAATTTTCCACTCGGCGTATTCCTGAAAATTGCAATAAGTTTTCTGCCTCCCAAGCCGAGCAGATAACAGAAGAAGTGGCACTATCTGGTTTCCCTGCTTTGTAGGCCTGGTAAACAAGTCTCTCTAGCCAAATCTTGACAGCAAAGTGAAAAAATCCTTTGCATTTTGCAACCCGTGGGAAAACAGGAAAATGTGTGCTATAAGGAGAAGTGTTCCAGAAACAGCTCCAATCATGCTCTGCAAGAATGGGCCGGAGCTACAGCAGCATTGTGCTAAAAGATCAGCTCCAGAGAGACGTTGGGGAAGTATCAAAGGTGATTTAAGGGCCAAGCTGTGGGGTACACGTCCAGGTCACACATGGCAGGGGAAGGGGCGATGCAGACCACCACCCACCCATGTAGAGATGGCTTCATGGGGCAGCACGGGTAAAATGGTTGGGACCAAACCCAGAAATTGCAGACATTGCTCCTCACTGCATCTAAGTTTCTCCAGCTGCAGTAAATTTAAAAATTAAAAAACCCCTCAATCTATAAATCTGAAACAAACAAACAAAGAAAAACCCAACAAATACATGGCGTGGGTGGTATCACTTTGTGGACCTAAGGTACTTTATGAGCTCGTTGGTTCCCATCCTTCTTCCTCTTCAGGTGACGCCTTTAACCACCACTGAAGCTTGGTCCATGTTGCCCCCTGCTCCCTTTTGCCCCTTCTCCTTCCTGTGATTACAGCAGGATTTAATGAGTTTCCTAACGAGGCTCATAAGCTCAATGCTTTGTGTTACATAGGATGACTTTCCCAAGGTCTGGATCACAAATACATCTTCAGCTGGGTTTTTGTTGGTTCCTTGGGGTGCTCCAGCCTTGGGACGGTAGGAGGGATAGATGGATGGCTGCTCTGTTCCTCCTCCTAAGCCCAAATCATAGAATCATAGAATCACAGAATGGTTTGGGTTAGAAGGGACCTTAAAGATCATCCAGTCCCAACCCCCCTGCCAGCAGCAGGGACACCTTCCCCTAGGCCACGTTGCTCAAAGCCTCATCCAACCTGGCCTTCAACACTTCCAGGGAGGGGACATCCACAGCTTCTCTGGGCAACCTGTCCCAGTGTCTCACCACCCTCACACCAAAGAATTTCTTCCTCACATCCCATCTCCATCTCCACTCTGACAGTTTCAAGCCATCACCCTTTGTTCTGTCACTCCCTGCTCTTGTCCAAAGTCCCTCCCCACCCTTCCTGGAGCCCCTTCAGGTACTGGGAGGCCACTAGAAGGTCTCCCTGGAGCCTTCTCTTCTCCAGGCTGAACAGCCCCAACTCTCTCAGCCTGTCCTCACAGCAGAGCTGCTCCATCTCTCTGATCATTGTTATGGCCTCCTCTGGACTTGTTCTAACAGGTCCATGTCTTTCTGATATTGGAGGCCCCAGCACTGGACACAGCACTGCAGGTGGGGTCTCAGGAGAGTGGAGCAGAGGGGCAGAATCCCCTCCCTCGACCTGCTGCCCACGCTGCTCTGGATGCAGCCCAGGATATGGTTGGTGCATGCCTTAGCTGAAGCAAGAGGTGACCACATCAGCGGTGGCCAGTGTCCCTTAAGCTCTGGGTGAGCCACACAACCCTGTGGTCACATCTCAGGGGCCCAGTGCAGCTCTTCCATCATGTCCCCAGTAAGCTGAGTCAGAGGCTGCTGGGGAGGACCAGAGCCTGCTCGAGCCAGGGGATGCAAAAGCATCAGCAGGACCACCCAGACCCACACCCAGATGCCTGAGAGAATTTGTTGTGTGACACTGACCGCTCTGGGGACAGCAGGACGGTCCCTGGGGCAGGCAGAGGGACTCCCTTACCAAGCAGGGTCGTGGTCCCCCTCGCCCCATCCAGCTGGCGGGGGTGGATTGTTGACTCAAGTGCCATTACCTCATTTGGGGATGTTAGTTTTAGGTCCCCGCCAGTGTGGGAACCGGATTCGAGCTGCTCGGCAGCGCCTGTCAACCCTGGCCAAGGAATGCAAGCGGCTCCGGTGATGGGAGGGGAGAGCTGCTGGGGCCACGGCATCACTGCTGGGACATCCCTGACGGCTGCAGTGGCCTTCCCATGCCCCACTCCCACCCTGGAAAGGGGAAATCCCTCTAGTTCAGCCTCGCAAGGGGTTTGTACACTGCTCACCATCTGGCAACAAAGCGGTTTGGTGCCCAGCTGGGTTCTGGCCTTGCATCTGATTTGCTTTCCCTCCCAAAAAAAAGGCATTTTAAAGATGAGTAGGTTTAGATGAGATATTAGGAAGAAATTCTTTCCAATGAGGGTGTTCAGACAGTGTCCCAGGTTGGCCAGAGAAGCTGTGGCTGCTCCTCCCTGGATGTGTTGAAGGCCAGGTTGGATGAGGCTTTGAGCAACCTGGTCTAGTGGAAGGTGTCCCTGCTGCTGGCAGGGGGGTTGGAACTGGATGATCTTTAAGGTCCCTTCCAACCCAAACCATTCCATGCTTCTATGATTTTTTATTATTATTATTTTTTTTATTTTCCCCATGGGGTGATAGGTGGAGAAGTGAGTTACTAAGGGCTGAGAGAAGGCAAAGCTGTGGCAAAACCTGGGGAAGGAGGATGCAGGGAGGCAGCAGAGAGGCTTTTCATGCCTCTGCCAGCAGAAAATGCTGCACAGGCAGGGATGGATCAGCTGCAGGACATTTAAAGCGTTGGAGCACAACCCAGCGTCGGAAGATGATAAAAACACCGTCCCAATCAAGCCGTAACCCTCTCCTCCCTGTCCCATGTGGGACGAGCTTTCTGGGGGATGCTGCCATGCCAAGGTCTCATCTTGCTGCCCATGGGCTGCCCTGGGACTGGGCTGGGACACATTTCCCATCCAGATCTTTTCTCAGGGATGCAGCTGGGATGGAGCAGACTCCAGAGAGGGACCTGGGGGAAGTTTCTCCCTGTGAAAAGTGAAAGGACAAGCGAGGGGCAGAAGCAATTCCCAAGGGCCTCACAATGCTGAGCTCACTCTGGGACAGCTCTTCCGCCCCAGCAAGTGCATCCTGTCTCCACCACTGCTTCCCAAATATTTAGATAAGATGGGGTGAGATTAGGTGCCTTCCTTGGCTGGGCAGCTCCCATCCTTGCGGTGGAGTAAGAGGGATGCTGCTGGTCATCCAAGTGGGACCTGGCAATGATGGTGTTGCAGAGGGAGGGGAAGGTTTGGGGAGTTGGAGCAGGCAGGAGCAGAGGGTTTTCCAGCCAGGGCACGTGCTGCCCAGCACCTCATTTAGGTGTGTATGGAGGACTTTGGCACACAGGACTTGGGCAGGCAAGTCCTGCTCACAGACAATCTGTGCAAGCAGGAGCTGTATCTACAGCATCTCTGCATACAGGAGCTGTGCATGCAGGGGCTGTGTGTGCAAGAGGGAGATCAGAGAATCACAGAACCACAGAATGGTTTGGGATGGAAGGGACCTTAAAGCTCATCCAGTTCCAACCCCCCTGCCATCAGCAGGGACACCTTCCACTAGACCAGGTTGCTCAAAGCCTCATCCAGCCTGGCCCTGAACACTTCCAGGGAGGAGCAGCCACAGCTTCTCTTGGCAACCTGGGACACGGTCTCACCACCCTCACACCAAAGAATTTTTTCCTCACATCTCATCTCCATCTCCCCTCTGCCAGTTTAAAGCCATCACCCCTCGTTCTGTCACCCCCTGCCCTTGGCCAAAGTCCATCCCCAACCTTCCTGGAGCCCCTTCAGGTACAGGCCACTAGAAGGTCTCCTCGGAGCCTTCCTTTCTCCAGGCTCAACAGCCCCAACTGTCTCAGCCTGTCCTCACAGCAGAGGTGCTGCAGCCCTTGGATCATCCTGGTGGCCTCCTCTGGACTCGCTCCAGTAGGTTCATGTCCTTCTCATGTTGGGGCCGTCAGACCCAGACACAGCACTGCAGGTGGGGTCTCACCAGAATGGAGTAGAGGGGCAACCAAGAGGGATTATCTCGACCTTAGTGAGCTCCCAGCTGCCACAAAGCATCAAACAGACGCAAAAATCCTCAGGAGCATCTCAGGAGGGGCATGGGTTCCATCCACCCCTCCACTCTCACCCCTCTGGCACTGTTCAGGCTAACCCCTCCGGAGATGCTCCAGTTTATCCAGAAGCAAAACAATTTTTTTCTTGCCTCCAAAGAGCTGTGAGGAAGCCCTAGTGAGAATGGAGACCTGTGTTGCTGGGGACAGAGGGTAGAAATGCTGGTGGTGGGAGGGCTGCAGATGCCCATGGGGGCACAGGGTGGGCTGTGCAGCCTCATCCTGCTCCCAGCGTGGCTCCTCAGCCTCCTCCAGCCCCCCCCATCCTGCTTCCCTCAGGGACCTGCTATTCCTGTAACACCAAAAGCTGTGTCCCTCAGATAAGGTCGGCGCAGGGCCCCGGTGAGGAACGGCAGCCAAGAGCTCAGCTTCTCATAAAGAAACTACTTTTAAACTTTTCCTGTTCCCTGGGAGGGCCAAGAGCAGCCGGGCAGGGCAAAGGCTTGGGGGAGGATGTGGATGGACACAGCATCCCTGGAGATGGGGTGGGATGTTCCCCAGTGGTTCTCTTGTGGGAGGATGGTGCTGAGCCCCTGCTGTCACCACAGGCTGAGTGGAAGATCGCCAGCGTCAACGTCTCCTTCTTCGAGAGCTTCTGCTCGACGGGTCAGCACACTTTCAACGCCAGCAGAGAAACGTGCACGGTGATGCTGAGCTCCCGTGAGCCCCAATCCCAGCACTGGGCTGTACAGGCAGTTGTGCACCGTGAGTATGATCCCACCATCCTGCCCCAAGCCCGGGGGGATGGGACCAATGGTGGGGACCCCAGCATGGGGATTGTAGAATGGTTTGGGTGGGAAGGGACCTTAAAGCTCATCCAGTTCCAACCCCCCTGCCATCAGCAGGGACACCTTCCACTAGCCCAG